GTCAACTTTTACTTTGTATTTTTTACATTTCTGGATGTTAGTTTTGCAACTACAAAAAATAATAAAGGTATTTGACCCCTTCTTTAATCCCATATCTCCTTCTCATTAAAGCTCTCTCTATTCTTCCTTCCATAGTCAAACTTCTTAAAAGAGTTACCTATTAAATTCTTTATTTCCTATTTGCTCCTAAACCCACTGCTACCCAGCTTTCAACCTCACCACTCAACTGAAGTTGTTCACAAAAAGGACACTACCATCTTTATATCCAAGTCCAATAAGCATTGTTCAGTCCTCATTTTGTTTGACCTCTCAACATCATCTAACATAGATAAGCAGTCCTTCCTTCTTGGAGTGTTGTCTTCTTTTGACTTCTGCTTTCCCTCTTCTTCTCAACACCCCTTACTGATTTCTCTGCCTCTGCTGGCCCTTAAATATCAACATTCCCAGAGGTCCTGGCCAAATCTCTTCCCACTCTCCATGTTCTCCTTGAGCAATCTCACCTACTCCTATGGCTTTGATGACCATCTCACTCATCTTTGCCTGAATCCAGATCTAACTCCTAAATTTCAGAATCACAAAATCAAAGGTCTAACACACATCTATCTTCAGTATCCTACAGACACTTCAAATTCAACCTGCTCAAAACTGAATTCATGATCTTTCCCCGACATACTTGCTTTTATTCAAGTGTTATCTGTCTTAAGGAATACCAAGAATCCAGAATACCAAGAATCCCTACCAGGAAGCTTGACTTCATCTTCAAGTCCTCCTAACTTACTTAATTAATCTCTGCCTCTACATTTGTCCATCTAATCTCTTTTCTTCCCTGCAGCCAGAGTGATTTTTTTCTAAAATACAAATATGATCCTGTCACTCCCCTGTTTGAAATCACTCAGTGACTCCCTATCCTTTTTAGAACAGGTTCAAACTCCATGATAGGATATACAAGGCCCCAATTACCTTTCTAAATCTGTCCCTGGCATCCCCCTCTTTGTAACCCAGCTGCCCATGCACTGAGTTACATGCACTTCCTGGAACTTCACATGCTCCCTCTTGTCTCAAAATCTTGATAGTTTCTCTACCTGGAATATCTTTTCTCTGCCTTAAGCAACTCTCCTGCCTTTCCACACCTACACACACACACACACACACACACACACACCTACTTCACCATTTTAACCAGCGGTTCTCAACCTTCCTAATGCCGCGACCCCTTAATACAGTTTGTCGTGTTGTGGTGACCCCCAACCATAAAATTATTTTCATTGCTACTCTATAACTGTAATTTTGCTACTGTTATGAATC